TTCTCATGAATCATGTCCACTGACTGGTTTTCAATTTTTGCTTACTTCACTATTTGCTTGTAACTTGATAGCTTTTTCTGCGAGAAAAATATCACGAACATATTTGAAGATGCTCTTCGACCTCAGCAGTCATAATGAAGAGAATGTTTCATTTTTAAGGAACTTCAAGAAATCTTTCATTAACTCTTAAGGAGCTTCAATATGTGAACAACCAAACTGTTGGACTGAATTGTGGTCGTGAAACGACTTTCTACAATATCTTGAAACTGTGAACTAACTTACCCCAACAAAATCTTTTAGAATATCATAATGAAACGTTGGTGTCAAAAGTTTTCTCCTCGATCGCCATTTTTTTGGTTCGCTGAAAGGAATCCTTAATTGTTGAAAGAACATTCAAATTTAATGAGTAATGAAGAAAGGAGAAACTTCAGAATCATTCCATCAATACAATTAGAAGAGATCATCAAATGAAAGAACTCAAAGCCCCTCGCTGAAATGTATTATCAGTATTTCTCAATTCGTCTTGTCACACAAACGAAATTATAGAAGGAAAACGTTAAAGGTGAGCATTATTGAGTTCCTTTATTCGATGATCTCTTCTGTAATTTTCAAATGTCGCCTTATCATTTTCTTTTGTATTGCAAAAATCACACCATTCAACTCCTAGCAACGCGAAGTCTCTGTCTATGTTCTAAGTGACAGCACGAATCGAGTTCAGAAATAAAAACTGACAGATTCATTCTCAGAACCAGTTCTACACGAACAAGTTCATTCCATAAGTCATAATGTGCTTTAATCAGTAATGCCTCAACTCAGAGAATCAATCTCGAAAAACCACTCTACAAATTTCTCATCATTCGACACAAACTGAAACGTCATAAACGTCATTCCAAGAAATATTCTCGAATTTACATCAGTCGTAAAACACTACCATCCATAGTATACCGTTATCAAATTCTGCTGAAACGCTGGAAGAGCAAATCTCTCATGGAGAATGCATGCTAACTAATGAAAATGATCTGAAAGCAGATCAAACGTTTGAATCGAGTTTTTTTTTGCTGAACGGATAACAAGAGAGTCAACCTTATCAGCAGTCCCTGTCCTATCCAACCACTCAAGAAACCGTATTGAAATGGTTTCGTCAGCGTTCGATTACTTCCCAAAACTGACTCGCATTCGTCCGCACCATAGATGAGAACACAAGGCCAACCGCTGAACCAGATTCGTGCCATTCGACTGCCGTCTTTCCCCAGCATGTACGCAACTCCTTGCACTTGCTCGAAGAATTCTGCGCAACACAAAACAGGTAGCAACAAGTAGACACGTTCATGAAAGGCTTATGAATATTACTTAATAGTCATGTTCTCCTCATTAATAATGTAGAACACAAGAATATGATCATTATATTGACAGGAAGATCAGCATGACATGGCTACGCGATATGGCTGAACAGCCAATTCCTGATGCTTGCTGAATTCAAGCCGATCGTGCTAAGACGCAATTCAAACTGGCAATAGCTTCTATCGGGAATACGATTGCGTTCTCAAAATTATGAGTTCAGTAATGGAGTTGCAATTATTTATCAAGAACAAATTATCTGTTTGACTGCGGAATAAGATTACGCACTAACCATCGGGTTTGAAGCAAAGCTGGTGCAGATTTCCCGTGAAAGGTAGTATTGCTGGACCTTGAAGGACCGAAATTTTATCGAGGATTCCACGCAGCTTCTTAGCAAGGAAGGAAACGACCCACGTTACCAAGGCAACAATGAAAGCAACTCCGAGTAGACCCATCGAATGAACTGAATATTGTTCAATTGCTCATTTCCTCGAAAATACGACTATCGCACAAAGCGGTTGACTGTCAATGCTTCGCATTTGGATAGTAGTGAGCAGTCAAAGGCATAAAAATCCAAATCAGGTTTGATTTGGAGACGAAATTAAGCTCGAACGTAGAGGCTCGCACGCCACGAATTCTACTCTCAATGGTCTCGACTCAACTCTAGTTTCAAGCGTCGTATCGGGACTATAATTCGCATCTTTCATCAGAACATGATCACATGTAGATCGATTCGTCTGCAAAGATGAATTTTTCCGCGACAGTCTCAGTTTACGATCTTTGGACATGAAATTCCATGGAAGACGTTCACTTAGCTGATAAACTAAGAAAAAAACAGTGAAATCAGCATGGCAGCTTCTTCAATATGATTTATTTTCAAACTCAGATCTCTCAAAATTGTTCAGCCTCACTTACTCCGCTATATGAGGCAAATGCATGAAGTTCGTAATGTAAATGTGAATTTATAAGGTTTTTAGGGTTGTTGTTGGAAAGATAAGAATCAGTTTAGCATTCTTCTGATTGATTACGTCACGAACTTAATTTCACGGCTTATTCGGCGAATCCCATCTGCAATCAATCATTAACGAACATGATTTGGTTGCCATTCTTAGAGTGCAAGGTCACGAGGAAGCAATATTGCACCGTAAATTTGTTTACAGTCCAATTTCAGCTCATTGACGTAAAAATAACTTCTGAGGTAGTAAAAATAACTTCTATACGTCAGAAGCGGAATGGATGAAAAAAGTGCTTTGTGAAGACGATGAGATAAATATCAGGAAAAAATGATTATTGGAAAAAAATATTTCATTTCGCTAAGATTGGAAGATTGAATGTGGGAAAAACGATGATAGCCATTAATTCTTCATCCACTGGCTTTCACTTCCTAATTACTTCGATTTTCAGTTCCTAACTGAACTGATTTGGCAGCTCCGTGTCTGTGAAATGGAAGCAGTCGGTAGCTGCGGTGGTATCGTCAAGCATAAATGGAACATCTCAAAATGATGTGCTCTGAAGCATTCGCAAACAAATAAATGAATCCATTAAAGACTGATCGTATCATTCTTTGCGAAAGTCACGTTAACTTTAACG